CTTCCTTCCCCCTTCCCTCTTCCCTGTCTTTCCCTCCTCCTTCCTATTCTCCTCCCTCCTCTTTCCCTCTCCCCTTCAGATGAATAAAATTATTTAAAAAGTGATGTATTTTTTCAAACTTATATTCAGCATAGTATTTAAAAAGCTTTGAAAATTTTAATCATTCCTGTCTGGCAATTCCCTACTAGTTATTTTTATACTAAATAGTTCTTAATGACTTTGATAAGTTTTTTAAATGGTTCCTGTCAAGAGAGATTTTAAAATACCAGTCTCTTTCCGTTCTGCTTTTGATTCCTACCGCTCCCGTGGGAGCCAAATACTCAAATCTGTTTCCATAACAATTTTTCTTTTTCTCTTGCAAGACTATCTTGTTGGTTTGTTGGGGTTGATTTCAATCTTTTATGAGAGCGCTGCGGTGTGTGGGTCAGAAAAACACAGCCTGTCGGTGGAATTAGTGGACTGAGGGGCAAAGAGCCAACCATGGGGCGGGGGTCCCCTGTGGGACGGCCAGTGGCCTCAGACGTGTTTTGTGAGCGTGTCTGTGTTTTCTGTGTAGCTGCTCCGGATGCTGGGGCAGTTCTGAGCTCCTTTTTCATGGTCTCTTCCAGTGTCCTGGGACCAGCCGTGACCTTCAGAGTGAGCGCCAGCGTCCAGAACCTGACGACGGCGGACGTGGTGCAGGCTACAGGTAAGGCCCCGTTAACACAACCCCGCATGAGCACGCACGCCCCAGGCGGAGGAGATGCACGGTCTCCCCAGCACCCCGACATCGGACGGGGAGATGGGACGGCCGGGTCGGTGGGCATGGCCGGAGCCTCATCGCCGTGGTGCGGCCCACCCGGCTGCAGGTGGAGGACATGGCTCCCTCTGAGACAGAGGCCAGGGCCGGGAGGGCAAGGGTCTGGGGTCTGCGGCGGCCCCGGGCCCCCGTGTGGACAGAACAAGTGCCTGCTGCTTTCGGCGTCCCAGCCAGGGTGTGCTTGTCTGTCACGGACCAAGACAGTGCAGGAGGGAGGGTTTAACAGAAACAAGGGGCTTCGCTACAGCTTTGCTTTGAAAGCCCTGGTTGTTCTGCCCACCTGTCCTGAGCCCCGGCGAGCCACGTCCGTACCATCTGCGGGCACTGTGGCTGCGGGGTGGGCAGCTCCCGCACTCCAGCTAACGGGATAAACTGTCTGTCTCATCTCTTTTGGTTGCTGTTGAATTTTATTTGTCAGATATCTTGGTGCCCTTAGTAACTCTTCCTGCTGAAAGTGATGATTTCAGGGGCCAGTAGTTTTTGGTTAGGGGAGAATTCCCTGCAACGTTGTACCTCCAGAAACCTGACCGATTTCAGCTCTCAGGAGAGCCGAGTGCCCCAGGCTTCACTGCAGTGTCATGTGTCGCTGTGAGGCCGGAGCGGCTGGCTGTCACTCAGCGAGCTGTACGGTGTCGTCCCTCAGCACGGCGGCTGATGCGGCCCCAGCAGATTCCGTTGCAAACTCTGCCTCCTGAAACAGAGCGGGTTCTGTGTCGGTGGCTCGGACCCCTCCCTCCTTCCCTCCAGCGTCCGTTCTCCCGTCCTAGCTGCTCAGCAGAAGGGATTATTGACCATATTTAAGACCAAACCAGGTCCTGGTTTTTTCAGGCAGAAACATTCACAGTTGTTTTACAAGTGGCCGTTCACCGCGGTGCTGGGAAGTAACGCTTTCAAAACCAGATTTGCTGGAACTTCAGGATGCAATAATGAATGGAATAAAATGGAAGGAAGTTTTTCCATCTTTGACAATCATGACAGGACACTCACTGACCATAGCCTTCATTTATTTTATTGCTTTCTTGGGAAAATGAGGTTGATTATTTAAAATCTAGTTTCTGGGTCATTTTAAATGTGTTCATGTTGAATACCAAAGCGCTATATGCCAAGGGGAGATTACATGTCAGATGTATGTTTGAATGTCATAGTAACCACTTTCTAAAGACCTGAATTTGCTACATTATAGCGTGTGTTTGTGTTAGCTCACAGCTGTGCAAGCTGAGTGCTTGTTGCTCGTCATGCATGTGCAAACGGACGACACACGTGCATAGTTTCAAAAAATTAGTTCTTTTATGTTGTGAATCATTTCAGGATGTTAAGAATGTACCTGATGCTACACAGGAAAAAGATGATGAAAGATAACTTTGTGACCATTAGGGTTCTATGGTTCGGCAGTAGACTGACCACCGTGTAGTGGGCACTGGGCACCGAGGGCCAGGTCCCCAAGGGTGTTGGTACCAGGAGGAGAAATGAGCTCACTGAGCACTAGACTTATTTGTGTGTTAACAAGGAAAGGGATTCTGGGGGTTTCTTGTTTTCAAAGACGATGTGGAGCCCTTGTTACAAGCTACTACTGAATGGCATGGTTGGGGCAGGCCCTGCTTGGGTGGGCTGTGGTGGTGCTCAGCACCTGCTGGAACAGGGCCCTCTGCTGGGATTGCTGCCACAGACCCAGTCACTGTGGTGGGTTCCCGTGGTGGGTTCCCTCGGGGGCTTCCCGGCACCACGCTTGAGGCCCTTCTTGCGGTTTACGACTGGTGAAGGGGACACAACCCCGCTGATGGAACTTCAAGGGTATTTGTTGGATAACCTCATGCAAAATGGTACCAAACTTAATAGGCTTGCAGTTAATACCACGTTAGCTCTCATCAAACGTCAGTGGCGTATGTCCTGACGGGTGGATGCAGCTGGTTCTTGTTCAGAATCTCTTCCTCGTATTACATGATTCTTTTCTGGATTCTTCGAACCTCGGCATGAACACAAGGCGCTAGTGAACGCTGAAAGTAAGTGGACGCTGCACAGGGAGGAACTTTTGTATTCCCAGGTGCAGAGAAACCCTGTTTACTGTGTGAGTGTTCAGTGCATGCGTTCACAATCCAACATCTGCACACACTACAAGGTGCCCACAACTGGAAGTCTAGTAACTGGTACTTCTCATCTTTCTGGCCATGCCATCTGATCAAATTGGGCAGAACAGAGAAATCCTTTTCTACTCTTCATTTACTTGGTAGTTTATTCTCAAGTAGCATATTTCTAATCCGTTTTTGCATTTCTCCTTTCAGAGAAGATATGGTTAAGTATCTTTTAGGAAAAGCGTTTGCCTTCCCCTCGGCAGCAGCGCACACCCCCAACCCCTGGGTTCCCATGACTTAGGGCTGGGAGCTCCCGCGCGCACTGCCCTGCCTCCAAGATCACCTGTTCCTACAGCTTGCCGCTCCTGGCACCCTGGGGAAGCTGGGCTTCTGGCTGATGGCGCATTTGACTCACTCGCTGACCATGTAGCTGCTGGTTGGCTGTCCTTGGCGGACGTCTCCCTCTCACCTTTGTGTCGTCAGCTCACGCTTGTCTAAACAAAGCCTCTAAGACTTGCCCTTCGGCTAACGTTTTTTCTTTCATCTTGGTGGGGAGACAGCACGTGTCGTTTCAAAGAACATCTCCTTACTCAAAGGTGTGATGTCTTTCCTCGAGTTCTAGTAACCGGAGCCTGGCCCCTTCTCATTCGCCTGTCGGGCATCCGCAGCAGTTAGCGAGTCTCCTCTCTGCGGTGTTGCTGTCCTGCCTGTGGTTTACACATTGTCTGCACGGAAGAGGGAGAGCCGCATGGCCTGTGGACTCTGCTCAGGGCTCATCTCTGGACCCTGAAGCCTCAGGAGTGTGTTTCGAGGGTTGGACTCCAGAGTGAGAGATCGGGACAGCTGTGCCCCGAACGTCTCACCCCAGAGCCCCTGGGGCAGTGAGTGCTGCCCAGCCTCCTGGACTCCGGGTAAAGGGGGCAGGTGTGTCTATTTTGGAAAGGGTAATGGAGTCCAGCCTGGCACAGTGAAATGAGCCCTTCCATGATGCATACTCAGTTCACCCCTCTGAACTGTTGCTCCCAAGCGAGCATCAGTGCTTCATGCTCATTTAGGCTCTCTCCTGGGCAAGGCACCGTGCAGGCCCTAGGCTGACGCCAACACCCAGAGGACAGCAGTCTGCCCAGAGCCCGGCCGGTCTTTCAGAGACACGGACAGAGTGCCCGGTGCCAGGGGTTGGGGGGCTCGCCAGATAAGGCTGCACAGAGGAGCTGGCCTTGGGCGGCAGCTGGGACTAGTGTGGCTCTTAGGGGGCTGGAAGGTGAGGAAAGGTTGGTCACATGAGGGACAGCAAGGAGGGCCGAGGCACAGAGCCCACATACCAGGGACAGGGCGGGGAACGGGGCTGGGGGCTGGAGTCCAAAATCGGTCCTGAACCAGACTTTGCAACGTGGGACTGTGACTTCAGGGTCTACAGGGAGCCCTCAGGCTTGGCTTCCTGTGGCTGAGGGAATCGGCTTTCCCTCCTGCGACACGGGGCTGGCCGGGGGTCCACACACTGTGCCTGTGACCAGGATCTGAAACCTGGAGGCCTCTGGGCTGGGCAGGGGGAGGGGAGACCCGCAGCTGCATGAGCTGCACACTCACGCTGTGTGCCGTCCACCCCAGGTGACCCGCTGGGGGACATGCCACTGGGGTCAGCGAGCGCTCCGGGCGGTGCTGTGCGTGTCACTGGCCACGTGTGGCCCGGAACCTGTTTGTGGTCATTGCACCCTCGCTGAGGTTTGGACCGGAGCAAATGTTGGGCGGGCTGGTGGACCTCAGTGTGGACAGGAAGTTGTACTTTTCCAGTGAAAAATAAGGAGGCGGCTCTGGAAATGCTAGAAAAGACCCACTTGATAGGAAGATTTGCGTTCATTTACTGGTGAAGGAGACAGCTGTGAAAAATTAATAAAAGCGGAAGAGTCCACAGGATCCTACATGCTTCTCTGAGATGTAAAGTTAGAGAATTGGAGGATTTTTAGGTGAAAGGGTTGTTGGTGTTCCTCTTCTTCGAGCCCTCACGACACAGATGGGGAGGCTCAGGCCAGAGCAGCCGGTGGGCTCTGTGGTGAGTGAGGCGCGCTGGGGCACCCCAGGGGGGGCCGGCTGATCTGCCACGCAGGAGGGACGGGATGGGCCGGCCTGTCATTTCCAGTCAAGCTGGCTGCTCAGAAATCAGCCTTTGTTGAGGTTCCAGGGCGCAACCCGGGAGGTGGGGCTCCCACTGGCCCAGCTGCTTCGGGCAGATTCCAGGCTGAGGGGGTGCAAGGCCTGGCTGGACTGCAGGGCCCCAGCCAACGGGCAAGGGCCTGCCGGCGAGGTCAGTGGGGAGCATGCTGGCGGGGGACAGCGCGGGAGGGCGGGGTCGCTGCATCAGCATCCACCAGGCTGTGGATCACTAGAACGCGGCACGGGAGGAAAGTACCATGGGCAGTGGACCAAGACACAGAAGGAAGGGCGAGGGGAGACGGGCACCCTGCCAGGATGGAGTGGCAGGTCAGAGGTCGGAGGCTGGAGACTGGGGACTCAGCGTGTGAGGCAGAGCTCGGGAAGGTCTCTCCGGAGAGGAGAAGACAGCTTGTCCTCCAGGTCTGACCGCTCTGTGTCCTGTGTTGATTATCGCTCGCAGGGGAGGAGTTGAGCTTATCCGACTGAACTGATAGATTATACGTTTCAACAGCAAAGTGTAGAAGGAGGCCTCTCATCCCTTTGAACATCCTGAGAAACGTTCCATCTTGTGCAGCCCACAGAATAAGAAATCATCTCTTTAAAAGCATCAGTGAGGTTAGGAGTGGAATGCTCTCTCTGAGGGAGACTCAGTTCTGAGGCGCTTTGCTG